TGATTCACCCCAAACCTGGGTTCTGGCCCAAATGAAGGATTTGATTCACCCCAAACCTGGGTTCTGGCTCAAATGAAGGATTTGATTCACCCCAAACCTGGGTTCTGGCTCGAATGAAGGATTTTATTTGCTCCAAACTTGTGTCAGCCCCTTGTACCCACCAGATCATCTGATTTTGACTCAAATAAAGGATTTAATTTGCCCTAGCCTCTGTCAGGCCCTTGCACCCACCAGAACAAGTGGTTTCGGCTGAAATTAAGGATTTTGTTCACCCCAAACCTGGGTTTTGGCTCAAATGAAGGATTTTATTTGCTCCAAACCTGTTTCAGCCCCTTGTACCCACCAGAAAATTTGGTTTTGGCTCAAATTAAGGAATTCACCCCAAAGCTGGGTCAGCTGCTTGCACCCAGCAGAAAACTTGGTTTTGGCTCAAATAAAGGATTTTATTTGCTCCAAACCTGTTTCAGCCCCTTGTACCCAGCAGAATGAGTGGTTTTGGCTGAAATTAAGGATTTTATTCACCCCAAACCTGTGCTGGCCCTTTGCCCCCACCAGAAAATGTGACTTTGGCTCAAATAAAGGATTTTATTTGCTCCAAACTTGTGTCAGCCCCTTGCACCCACCAAGACAAGTGGTTTGGGCTGAAATTAAGGATTTTATTCACCCCAAACCTGTGCTGGCCCCTTGCACCCACCAGATCATCTGATTTTGGCTCAAACTGAGGAATTTATTCACCCCAAATGTGTTCCAGCCCCTTGCACCCACCAGAACGAGTGGTTTGGGCTCAAATTGAGGATTTTATTCACCCCCAGTGCCCAGGGTGTGTCAGGGCTGGGATAAGTGGATTTCCATGATCAGGGGGGAATTCTGTGCCCTCTCCCCACTTCTGGGACCCCTCGTGCGCCCCTTTGGGACCTTTTGGGGCGATCCCAAAACCCCAAAACCCCGAGGGAGCCCCGGGAGGAGCCCGGCGCGGGTCCCTGCTCGCTCGGACCCGTCCCGGTGTTGCAACCTCGGGGAAGCATTTCCCAGGTAAGGCCCGGTCTGGAAACGCCCTGGGAACGTCAGGGAAGGGTGGGAGGCTCCTTAAAAACCCGGCTGGGCTGGCGGGATGGGTGCGAGGTAAAGGAGAGAGCGGCCGGACCGATTCCCAGCGCCCGACAGACGCACGGACACCGCGGGACCCCCGGCAGGATGCAGGTGGGAATCCCGAGATGGGGAAATGGGGAACCCCCCCAACCTCGGGACCCTCGGGATGAGGATTTACCTGGGGAGAGCCCCTGGGGTGTGAGGTTGGAGGTTGAGGAGGTGGAAATTCCTGGAATCCTCCGGGAGCGGGGCCAGGGAACGGGGATGGGCTGAGGGGAACCGGGAGGGGCTGAGGGGAACCGGGACAGAACCGGGATGGGCCAGGGGGGAACCAGGATAGAACCGGGATGGGCTCGGGGAGAACCGGGATGGGCTCGGAGGAACTGGGATGGGCTGAGGGGAACCGGGGTGGGCTGAGGGGAACCGGGGTAGAACCAGGATGGGCCGGGGGGGAACCGGGATGGGCTGAGGGGAGAACTGGGATAGAACCGGGAGGGGCTGAGGGGAACCGGGAGGGGCTCAGGAGAACCGGGATAGAACCAGGATGGGCTCGGGAGAACCAGGATGGGCTGAGGGGAGAACTGGGATAGAACCGGGAGGGGCTGGGGGGGAACCGGGATAGAACCGGGATGGGCCGGGGGGGAACCGGGATGGGCTCGGGGAGAACCGGGATGGGCTCGGGGGGGGGGGCCGGGATAGTACCGGGATGGGCTGAGGAGAACCGGGATAGAACCAGGATGGGCTCGGGAGAACCAGGATAGGCTGAGGGGGGAACTGGGATGGGCTCAGGGCAGAACCGGGATGGGCTCGGAGGAACTGGAATGGGCTGAGGGGAACCGGGATGGGCTCAGGGGAACCGGGATGGGCTCGGGGGGGCCGGGATGGGCTCAGGGCAGAACCGGGATGGGCTCGGGCAGAACCGGGATGGGCTCGGGGGGGCCGGGATGGGCTCAGGGCAGAACCGGGATGGGCTCAGGGGAACCGGGATGGGCTCAGGGCAGAACCGGGATGGGCTCGGAGGAACTGGAATGGGCTGAGGGGAACCGGGATGGGCTCAGGGCAGAACCGGGATGGGCTCAGGGCAGAACCGGGATGGGCTCAGGGCAGAACCGGGATGGGCTCAGGGCAGAACCGGGATGGGCTCAGGGGAACCGGGATGGGCTCGGAGGAACCGGGATGGGCTCAGGGGAACCGGGATGGGCTCAGGGCAGAACCGGGATGGGCTCAGGGCAGAACCGGGATGGGCTCGGGCAGAACCGGGATGGGCTCGGAGGAACCGGGATGGGCTCGGGGGGGCCGGGATGGGCTCAGGGCGGCCGGGATCAGGGCAGGAGCACCCGGGGAGGTTCCCTGGGCTGGAGAGTTCGGGTTGGGGCTGCCAGCGGGGTCTGGGGGCCAGCAAAGGGGATTTGCTATGGGGAAAGGGGGATCTGCCATTGGAAAAGGGGAGATTTACCAGTGGAAAATGGGGTTTGTTGGTGGAAAGGGGGGATTTGCTGTTGGAAAAGGGAATTTGCTGTTGGAAAAGGGGATTTGCTGGTGGAAAAGGGGATTTTTTGGTGGAAAAAGGGGATTTGTTGGAGGAAAAGGGGATTTGCTGTTGTAAAAGGAGGATTTACCAGTGGAGAAGAGGATTTTCTATTGGAAAGGGGGATTTGTTGGTGGAAAAGGAGGATTTTAGGGTGGAAAAGGGGGTCTGTTTTTGGAAAAGGTATTTGCTGGTGGAAAAGAGAATTTGTTGGTGGAAAAGAGAATTTGCTGGTGGAAAAGAGGAGTTTACCGGTGGAAAAGCAGGATTTGTTGGTGGAAAAGGGGGATCTGCCATTGGAATAGGGGGATTTGTCAGTGGAAAGGAAGATTTTTTTGGTGGAAAAGGGGAATTTGTTGGTGGAGAAGCAGGATTTGCTGATGGAAAAGGAGGAATTTCCCTCTGGAAAAGCAGGATTTGCTGATGGGAAAGGAGGAATTTCCCTCTGGAAAAGCAGGATTTGCTGATGGAAAAGGAGGAATTTCCCTCTGGAAAAGCAGGATTTGCTGGCGGGGGATGCCGGGCTGGGAGCAGGGAGCGCTGGGGCCACGTGTGGCTCTGTCCCCCAGTGTCCCCCAGTGTCCCCCAGTGTCCCCCAGTGTCCCCCAGTGTCCCCCAGTGTCCCCATGTGCCACCCGGTGAGTGCCCGGTGGCCCCGGGGCTGTCCCGTGAGTCACCGGTGGAGCAGCCTCGGTGCCCCAGGGCCGGGCAGGGCGCTGCCACCAGGGGGACAGGACAGGTGACACCGATGTCACCGATGTCACCAGGTGCCGAGGGGGTTGTGGCCTCGGTGCTCCCAAATCCCTTCGGTTCCTGGGCTGGAAATGAAACCCCCAGCCCCAAAGCCACCCTGGTGACAGTTCTGAGAGTTGGGGACAGTGACGGAGTGACCTCGGGCTGCGGCACCACAGGGGACAGAGGTGGCTTGGGAGGACACAGGGACACGTGGGGACAAGGAGGAGAGCGTGGCTGGGCCCTGGTGTCACCTCCCTGGGCCTGGTGTCACCTCCTCAGTGTGGCTGGGCCCTGGTGTCACCTCCCTGGGCCCTGGTGTCACCTCCCCATTGTGGCTGGGCCTGGTGTCACCTCCCTGGGCCTGGTGTCACCTCCTCAGTGTGGCTGGGCCTGGTGTCACCTCCCTGTGGCAGGACTGGGCAGGATGAAGGTGACAAGAGGGGACAGGAGCCAGGTTGTGACACAGGGCAGGACCTGAGCAAGCAGCAGGGTTGGGGACACCCTCAGATGGTGTCCCCAGCGTGGGGACAGTGCTGGGCCACCCCTCAAGGTCCCTGTGGCAGTGGCTGTTGTTCCCTGGGCTGGGTTAAAGGGACAGCCTGGGACAAAAGGGACAAAAGGGACACCCCCAGCCCGGCTGTCCCCACCCCGGCCAGGCAGGAAAGAGCCGAGCCCGGCCAAGGTGACGCCGTTTCCGTGCCATTGTCACCGGGATGTGACGGGGGGACCGTCCTGACAGGCCCAGGCAGAGCTTCCTGGTGGGGACAGTGGGGACAGGGGGGACAGGAGGGACAGGAGGGGACAGGAGGGACAGGAGGGACAGGAGGGACAGGAGGGGACAGGAGGGACAGGAGGGGACAGGGGGGGACAGGAGGGACAGGAGGGACAGGGGGGACAGGGGGGATAGGAGGGACAGGAGGGGACAGGAGGGGACAGGGGGGACAGGGGGGGACAGGAGAGGTGCTCGGCAAGCCGGGACCTGCCCTGCCGGGCCGTTCCCGCAGCCGTGAAGCAACAGCGAGGGCAGGGCCGGTAATTCCGGCCCCGTTCCTCCCCAAAGAGCCCCGCGGCACCGGGACCGGCAGCACCGGCACGGCCCGGCCCAGGAGCGGGGGCGGCACGGGCGGCCCCGGGGCCGGGCGGGGCGGGCACAGGTGGCACCGAGGATTTGGGGAGGGCACAGGTGGCACCGAGGATTTTGGGCGGGCTCAGGTGGCACCGAGGATTTGGGGAGGGCACAGGTGGCACCGAGGATTTTGGGCGGGCACCGAGGATTTTGGGGGTGGGCACCGAGGATTTTGGGGATAGGCACCGAGGATTTTGGGGGCGGGCACAGGTGGCACCGAGGATTTTGGGGCGGGCACCGAGGACTTTGGGGATAGGCACCGAGGATTTTGGGGGCGGGCACCGAGGATTTTGGGGATAGGCACCGAGGATTTTGGGGGCAGGCACAGGTGGCACCGAGGATTTTGGGCGGGCACCGAGGATTTTGGGGATAGGCACCGAGGATTTTGGGGGCGGTGAGGAAGATGAGGATCCCCCAGCCCCGCGGGTCCTTTGCCTTTCGGCCAGGATGGGTTTTCCCTTCCGGGGGTTTGTGGTGGGGACCCCCGAGGGTCTCACCCGGGTCTCGCCCCCTCAGGGCACCATGGCCGAGTGCACGGAGCTGGAATGGGCCGTGCAGGTGCTGGTGAACAACTTTGACAAGTACTCGAGCCGCTGCTGCTGCTGCAAGAACCCGCGGCGCATCAGCAAGAAGGATTTCCGCAAGATGCTCAGCCGGGAGCTCAACCACATGCTGACGGTGAGCCCGGGGTGCAGGACGGGGTTTTGGGGGGATCTGCCCGGCCTGAACCCGGCCTGAACCCGGCCTGAACCCGCCCTGAACCCGGCCTGAACCCGGCCTGAGCCTGCGCTACCCCGTTATCACCCGAGCCCTATGAGGAGCGCTGATAAGCAGCGCAATCGGCCCATGCCAAAAATTGACCGATCGACCTAAAATTGCTCATCCTGCTCATAGGACTGGTTGTAGCCACGACCAGAATCCTGTTGGGGAAGATGAAAGAGGAAAGCCCTATAAATATGATTGCCTGGCAAAAGATTTTGAGAGTATAGAAACTAAAAGTGAGATTGAAATGAAAGCAAGCTTTGAGATCCCTCAGTTACTGAACAGCTGGAAAACAATGGTGTGGCTGGACTGAAGGTGATCCCCTTTTGATGGAACAACACCCTCTGCTTGCAGACAGGCCCAAGGGGCAGAGCAGACCCTGCTGGCTCTGCAGAAGGGGCCCAAAAAGGAGTTTATAGGGTTTAAAATGTAACACAGTGTGGTAATGTAATGATTCTTATAGGCTGTATGGAAATGCTGTAGGATTTGTATCTTGTACTGGATTGGTGAGTGAGAATCAGAATATTCAACACAGAAGATTTATTTATTACCCTAACCCTAACCCTAACCCTAAACCCTACATTTCACTTAAATCAAAATGGATTTCTACCCTGGAAAATTTCCACTCTGCTTCAATACCAAAAACCCTAAAATCCACATTTTCACGCCGTGATAATTCTATTATTGTACCATTCAAACCTCTGTGACTTTTAGCTCCTCATCCCAAGCTGGTGACCTGCTCCAGGGGTCACAACCAAACCCTCAGGGCTGCATTTCAGGGTCTCCCAGCCCCCTGGCGGGGTCCTCAGCAGCTCTGGACACCCAGAGGGGTTTGATGAGTTCCCACACCACATTAGACCGGCCCAAAACTCCGCTGCTGTCACCGTAGGGCACGAAGGACAAAACACAAGCACACCCCGCTGTTCTCGAGGCGAGGAGAAAAGGGGAGTTCATTTTCTGACTCCGACATTTCCAATTTTCCAAAAGTGACGGTGCCACCTCTCCAATGGCACTGGCCAAACCAGCAGCCCATCGGCATTCCCCCCCTCCACAGAGGGACGCAAAACATTCACGAGTCATTAGAAAATCTTAAAAAAAGCCCCTGGCTGACCCCGCTGCTCCCCCGCAGGACACCGGGAACCGCCGCGCCGCCGACAAACTCATCTGCGACCTGGATGAGAACAAGGACGGGCGCATCAGCTTCGAGGAGTACTGGACCTTGATAGGGGGCATCGCCAGCCCCATCGCGCAGATCATCCGCCAGCAGGAGCAGAGTGTCAAACACACCAAGTAGAAGCTGCTGGACCCCCTCCGGAACCCCCCAGCTCCTCCCATTCCCTGCTTTCTTTATTTTATTTTATTTTTCTTTTTTTGGTGCCCGCCCCGAGCCTCCGAGATCCCCCCCGGGACCCCCCAGCTCCTCCCATTCCCTGCTTTCTTTATTTTGTTTTTATTTTATTTTTCTTTTTTTGGTGCCCGCCCCGAGCCTCCAGGACCCCCCAGCTCTTCCCATTCCCCGCTTTTTTAATTATTTTTTGGGGTTTTGTGCCCGCCCCGAGCCTCCGGGACTCTCCCCTGGAACCCCCCAGCTCCTCCCATTCTCCGCTTTTTAATTTTATTTTATTTTTTGTGCCCGCTCCGAGCTTCCGGGACCCTCCCACTCCTCCCATTCCCCACTTTTTAATTTTATTTTTTGGGGTTTTTTTGTGCCTGCCCCGAGCCTCTGGAACCCCCCTGCTCCTCCCATCCCCTGATTTGATTTTAATTTTTTTTTTCCCAGGACCTCCCACCCAAATCCTGTGGGTGGGATTTGGGGGGGGGGGGGGGGGGGGGGCTCCTCCTCGTCCTGCCCCTCTTTCCTCCTCTTTTCTCAGCATTCCAAGTAAAGGTCTCAGCCACACCGCTGGAGGAGTTGCACTTTTCTGATCGAGCATCTCCAAACCTGTCCCTTTCGGCCACTGGGGTGGGTCACACCCCGTGGGGAGCTGGTGGCAGGGTTAAAGCACGGGGGTGAAGCCAGAGAGGAGCAGGAGAGCCCATCTCAGTGCAGATGCTCTGAGCTGCCTTGAGCGAGCAGCCAGAGCTTCTCCCTACAGGGATTTTGTTTTGTTTCCTTCTCACGGATGCTTTGACAGCATTTGACGGTGTCAAATTTCATGCCTTGAGTCCCATTTGATATTTTAGATTGAATGCGTCTGAACATTCGTCCTTTTCTCGGAGGGTGAAGCTCTCCCCATGCTCTGGGGTGGGAATTTTGTCTGTGCTCAGAAATCCCAGCAGGGGCGGCGCTCGCTCTCCGCCCTCCCTCGGGGGTTCCCTAAACTCGGGGGGTCTCTTTTGTTTTTTTTTGTTTAATCCCAAAAAACAACCTTGGGCAAAGGGGGGGGGGGTTGTTTTTCCCTGGTTCCCGGCCACCCCCGTGGTTATTTATTGTTTATTGCAGCAATAAAATTTGGAGGAGCAGCGGGTGATGCTCAGATTTTATCGGGGGGGGCGGTGGGAGGGGTCTCCACCCTGTCCTCACCTGTGGTGGGGTTCACAGGGGTCCCAGATGAGGGAAGAGGTGAGAATCTAGAATCCAGAATTCAGAAGGCTTGATTTATCATTTTATTATATATATTATATTTATTACATATATATATATTATATATATTTATTATTTTATTAAATAATAGATAGTATTATTTATATAATATAAAAATATATATTAATATAGAAATACATTAATACATATATAAAGATAATAACATTATAATAAAATATAGTAATATTTTATTATACGAATAAGATATTATTATATTTATATAATAAATATAATAAAATACATAATAATATATAATAAATAATAAATATATAAAAATAAAGACATAATATATAATATATAAATATATTTTTATATAACTATATTTACATATAGTTATATATAAATATATAATAATGAATATATAAATATAATTATATTGTAATAAAATCTAATAATTAATATAATATAATATAATATAATATAATATAATATAATATAATATATATAATATAATATATATAAATATATAATTATGTAAAGATATAAATTTATATATTTATATATATTTATATATATTTATAAATTTATATAATAGTTTATATAATATATATTATATTAAAACTATACTAAAAGAATAGAAGAAAGTATTTCATTCGAAGGCTAGCAAGGAATAGAAAAGGAACGAATAACAAAATCCAGTGTCTGACCAGAGAGAGACACATTTGGAGCGTGATTGGCCATAAATTAAAAACAACCCCATGAGACCAATCACAGACGCGCCCGTTGCATCCCACAGCAGCAAATATTCCTCGTTTGCATTTTGTTCCTGAGGCCTCTCAGCTTCTCAGGAGAAAACAAAAAATCCAGAGGAAAGGATTTTTCAGGAAATATCGCGGCTACAACCGCCCTCGGCTCGCCTGGGCTGGCGACAGCGCCAGCAGCCACCGCCGGGTGTCAGCAGCCACCGCCGCCACATCCGGGCGGGTCCCTCCGTGTCCCCTCCGTGTCCCCTCCGTGGGACACCCAGGGCTGAGCCCGGGCATGAACGGGATCTCACAGCTCACTCGTTAATGGGATCACAGAGCTCATTAATGGGATTACACAGCTCATTAATGGGATCACAGAGCTCACTCGTTAATGGGATCACAGAGCTCATTAATGGGATTACACAGCTCGTTAATGGGATCACAGAGCTCATTAATGGGATCTCAGAGCTCACTCGTTAATGGGATCACAGAGCTCATTAATGGGATCTCACAGCTCACTCGTTAACGGGATCTCAGAGCTCATTAATGGGATCTCACAGCTCGTTAATGGGATCACAGAGCTCATTAATGGGATCACACAGCTCATTAATGGGATCTCACAGCTCACTCATTAACGGGATCACAGAGCTCATTAACGGGATCACAGAGCTCATTAATGGGATCTCACAGCTCACTCATTAACGGGATCTCACAGCTCATTAATGGGATCACACAGCTCATTAATGGGATCTCACAGCTCATTAACAGGATCACAGAGCTCATTAATAGGATCTCACAGCTCACTCATTAACAGGATCACAGAGCTCATTAATGGGATCACAGAGCTCATTAATGGGATCTCACAGCTCACTCGTTAATGGGATCACAGAGCTCATTAATGGGATCACAGAGCTCATTAACGGGATCAAAGAGCTCATTAATGGGATCTCACAGCTCATTAATGGGATCTCAGAGCTCACTCGTTAATGGGATCACAGAGCTCATTAATGGGATCTCACAGCTCGTTAATGGGATCACAGAGCTCATTAATGGGATCACAGAGCTCATTAATGGGATCACACAGCTCACTCATTAACGGGATCACAGAGCTCATTAACGGGATCACAGAGCTCATTAATGGGATCTCACAGCTCACTCATTAACGGGATCTCACAGCTCATTAATTGGATCTCACAGCTCGTTAATGGGATCTCACAGCTCACTCATTAACGGGATCACAGAGCTCATTAATGGGATCACACAGCTCACTCATTAACGGGATCTCACAGCTCATTAATGGGATCACACAGCTCATTAATGGGATCACACAGCTCATTCATGCGATCACACAGCTCACTCATTAATGGGGTCTCACATTTCATTAATTAATGGGATCTCACAGCTCATTAATGGGGTCTCACATTTCATTAATCAATGGGATCCCGCAGCCCCCCGAGCCTCCCCGTTCTCCCGTGCGAGCCCGGCCCGGGCTGTCCCCGTGGGAACGGGCGGGGCCGGGCTGAGTCAGGGCCGAGGAATCCCCGCGGGTTGGGCCGTGACTCACCCGGGGGTGCGGGGAGAGCCGGGCCGGGCCGGGCCGTGACTCACCCGGGGGTGCGGGGCGAACCGGGCCGGGCCGGACCGGGCCGTGACTCACCCGGGGGTGCGGGGCGAACCGGGCCGGGCCGGGCCGGGCCGTGACTCACCCGGGGGTGCGGGGCGAACCGAGCCGGGCCAGGCCGTGACTCACCCGGGGGTGCGGGGCGAACCGGGCCGAGCCGGGCCGTGACTCACCCGGGGGTGCGGGGCGAGCCGGGCCGAGCCGGGCCGGGCCGTGACTCACCCGGGGGTGCGGGGCGAGCCGGGCCGAGCCGGGCCGGGCCGTGACTCACCCGGGGGTGCGGGGCGAGCCGGGCCGAGCCGGGCCGTGACTCACCCGGGGGTGCGGGGCGAACCGGGCCGGGCCGGGCCGGGCCGTGACTCACCCGGGGGTGCGGGGCGAACCGGGCCGGGCCGGGCCGTGACTCACCCGGGGGTGCGGGGCGAACCGGGCCGGGCCGGGCGCGGCTCCCCCGGGACCCCGAAGATCCGGGCTCGGCCACCCCCAAGTCCCATTTTTGGGGAGAAATTCCGGGAATTTGTGTCCCTTTCCCAGCCCTGGAGGAGAAGGGGGGACAGGGAAGGTCTCGTTTGTCCCCCAAAGGGGATGCCCTGTGTGGGATCGCAGAGATTTTGGGGTGTTCTGTTCCCCAAATGTACCAGGGAAAAGGGGCAGCTCATTAATGGGATCACAGAGCTCGTTAATGGGATCTCACTGCTCACTCATTTATGGGATCACACAGCTTATTTATAGGATCACAGAACTCATTAATGGGATCTCACAGCTCGTTAATGGGATCACAGAGCTTGCTAATGGATCACAGAACTCACTCATTAACAGAATCTCACAGCTCACTCATTAAGGGGATCACAGAGCTCATTAATGGGATCTCACAGCTCACTCATTAATGGGATCTCCCATCTCATTAATGGGATCTCACAGCTCATTCATTAATGGGATCTCATGGCTCATTAATTGGATCACACAACTCGTTAATGGGATCACAGAGCTCATTAATGGAATCTCACAGTTCACTCATTAATGAGATCACAGTTCGTTAATGGGATCATACCGCTCATTAACAGGATCACAGAGCTTATTTACAGGATCACACAGCCCGTTAATAGGATCTCACAGCTCACTCATTAATGGGATCTCACAGCTCGTTAGTGGGATCTCACAGCTCACTCATTAATGGGATTACAGAGCTCATTAATAGGATCTCACAGCTCACTCATTAACAGGATCACAGAGCTCATTAATGGGATCACACAGCTCACTCATTAATGGGATCTCACAGCTCGTTAGTGGGATCTCACAGCTCACTCATTAACGGGATTACAGAGCTTGTTAGTGGGATCACAGAGCTCATTATCAGGATCACATAGCTCATTAATAGGATCACACAGCTCGTTACACAAAAATGAGGCGCGGGTGAAACCCGGGTGCGAGGAGCAGCCGGGCATGTGGGGGCTGCCCCGGGGGCAGTGCCACCCCGTGCCACCCCGTGCCACCCCGTGCCACCCTCCTGGGCTATAAATCCCCGCCGTGCCCCGCTGCCCCATCCCAACCCTCGAGAACTGATCCACGCTCAGCCGGTGAGTCCCCGCTCCCTTCCCTCCTCCAGCACCCCAAAATCCGCCCGGGCCCCCCCAGGAGCTGATGGCACCCCCTGCTCCGTGTCCCCAGGTGTCCCCATGGCGTGTCCCCTGGAGCAGGCGATGGCCCTGATGGTCACCACCTTCCACAAGTACTCGGCCAAGGAGGGCGACAAGTACAAGCTCAGCAAGGCCGAGCTCAAGGAGCTGCTCAACAAGGAGCTGCCGGTCTTTGGGAGCGTGAGTGGCCTTGGGGACATCCTGGGTGTCCCTTGGGGGTGGAGGGACAGGAGGGACCAGCCCTGGGTCTTTCTTTGGGTCTTTGTCCTGGATCTTTGACCCGGGTCTTTGTTCCAAGTCCTTCTCTGGGTCTTTCCTCCCGGGTCTTTGTCCCGAGTCTTTGTCCCAGGTCTTTCTCTGGGTCTTTGTCCTGGGTCTTTGTCTTGGGTCTTTGTCCCGAATCTTTCTCTGGATCTTTGTCCTGGGTCTTTGTCTTGGGTCTTTGTCCTGAATCTTTCTCTGGGTCTTTGTCCTGGATCTTTGTCCCAGGTCTTTGTCCTGGATCTTTCTCCAGGTCTTTTCTCTCAGGTTTTCCTCCCCAGTCTTTTCTCCTGGGTCTTTCTTGAGTTCTTCCCTCCTGGGTCCTTTTTCTCCCAGGTCTTTTATCTCCCTCTTTCCTCCTGGCTCTTTCTCTGGGTCTTTTCTCCTGTGTCTTTTCTCCTGGGTCCTTTTTCTCCTGGGTCTTTCTCTGGGTCTTTGTCCCGGGTCTGTGTCCTGGGTCTTTTCTCCTGTGTCTTTCCTCCTGGGTGCTTTTCCTCCCAGGTCTTTCTCTGGGTCTTTCTCCCGGGTCTTTCTCTGGGTCTTTTTCCCGGGTCTTTTGTCCCAGGTCTTTTTTCTCCTGGGTCTTTTCTGTGGGATCTTTTCTCCTGCATCTTTCTCCTGGTCTTTTTCCTCCCAGGGTCTTTTGTCCTGGGTCTTTCTCTGGGTCTTTCCCCTGGGTCTTTTCTCTCCCAGGTTTTTCCTCTCCTGGGTCTTTTCTCCCAGGTCTTTTGTCCCGGTTCTTTCTCTCAGGTCTTTTCTCCTGTGTCTTTCTCTGGGTCTTTCCTCCTGTGTCTTTGTCCCGGGTCTTTACTCCCGGATCTTTTCTCCCACATCTTTTTCTCCCGGCTCTCTGAAATTCTGATGGGTCCATCCCTCGTGCTCCAGGGAAATCCCTGGAGAAGAGCAGGAACGAGGCCTGGAGGGCTCAGCCCCAAAGGAAATTCGGCTTGAAATTCGGCTTTTTTTCAAACCCACAGAAATACTTTGTTTAGCAAAGGAAATCACGCTCCAATTTCCCTTTTTTTTTTCACCATTTCTTTTTTTTTTAAACCCTCACTTCCCTTTCTCAGCTTGTGGTTTCAACCGGGAGGTGAAAATTTTTTTTTTTTTTTTGGCCAAATTTTTCCACACCCGGGAGGCCCTTCAATTTAATTTAATTTAATTTAATTTTATGTTATTTTATTTTTTTTTATTTGCCAAATTTTTCCACACCTGGGAGGCCCTTTGATTTTTTTTTAATTATTTTTTTGCCAAATTTTTCCACACCCAGGAGGCCCTTAAATTAAATTAAATTTAATTTAAGTTTAGTTTAGTTTAGTTTAATTATTTTATTTTTGGCCAAATTTTTCCACACCGGGAGACACTTTGATTTTTTAAAATTGTTTTTTTTTTTTTTTGGCCAAACTTTTCCACACCCGGGAGGCATTTTTGGAAATTCGGGCACTGCCCATCTCACCCGCCAAGCCCAAAATCCCTCCCTGAGGCAGAGGAGGGGAGAAGGCGGGGAAGGGGCGGCCCCTCCCCTCCAACCCTCACCCCAAACCCTCTCCCTGGACAGAAACAAATGGACGAGGCCGAGTTCAAGCGGCTGATGAACGACCTGGACCACAACAAGGACAGCGAGGTGGATTTCAAGGAGTACGTTTGCTTCCTGGCCTGCATCACCATGGGCTTCAACGAGTTCTTCAAGGACGACCCCAGCAAGCACCGCAGGAAGTGACCCCCAGGGTGACCCCAAAGTGAACCCAGAATGACCCCGGAGTAACCCCCAGAATAACCCTGGAGGTGACCCCCCAGAATGACCCTGGAGTGACCTCTGGAGTGACCCCGGAGTGACCCCAGAGTGACCCCTCCCCATGGCCACCCCAGCCCTGAGGGGCTTTCAATAAAAGATTTTCCCTGATCCTGGCTGAGTTTTGGGGTTCTGTTCGTTTTTCCCCAATCCTGGTTCAATTCTGGGGTTTTGTTCAGGTTTTCTCCCAGTTCCGGGGTTCTGTTCAAGTTTTCCTCAATCCTGGCTCAGTTTTGGGGTTCTGTTCGTTTTCCCCCCAATCCTGGCTCAATTCTGGGGTTTTGTTCAGGTTTTCTCCCAGTTCCGGGATTCTCTTCAGGCTCTTCCCAATCCCAGCTCAGTTTTGGGGTTCTGCTCATTTTCCCCCCCCAATTCTGCCTCAATTCTGGGGGTTCTGTACAGGCTGTCCCAATCCCAGATGAGTTTTGGGGGTCCTGTTCATTTCCCCCCCAATCCTGGCTGAGTTCTGGGGTTCTTTCCAGATTTTCTCCCAGTTCTGGCTCAGTTCTGGAGTTCTGTTCATTTTTTCCCCAATCCTGGTTCAATTTTGGGGTTCTCTTCAGGTGCTCCCGCCAGTCCTGCTCAGTTCTGGGGTTTTGTTCACATTTTCTCCCAGTTTTGGGGTTCTGTTCATTTTTTTCCCCCAATTCTGGCCCAGTTCTGGGGGTTCTTTTGAGGCTTTCCCCAATCCTGGTTCAATTTTGGGGGTTCTCTTCAGGTTCTCCCCAATCCTGGTTCAATTTTGGGGGTTCTCTTCAGGTTCTCCCCCAGTCCTGGCTCAGTTTTGGGGTTCTGTTCATTTTTTCCCCCCAATCTCAGCTCAATTCTGGGGTTTTGTTCAGATTTTCTCCCAGTTTTGGGGTTCTGTTCATTCTCCCCCCAATCTCAGCTCAATTCTGGGGTTTTGTTCAGATTTTCTCCCAGTTTTGGGGTTCTGTTCCATTTTTTCCCCCCAGTCCTGGCTCAGCGCTCACCCCCGCCGTGCCCAGCCTGACTCACGCCTTCCTCCGGCTCTGTGGGATTTTCCACAGCGTGGCTCAGCCCTGCCAGGGGTTTATTTTGGGGAGAAATTTGAGCAAAAACAACTCTTGGGTGTCGCTGGAGCGTTCTGGGGAGGGTTCAGGAGTGGTGCCCTGGGAGCCACCAAGGGTCGGGGGCAAACCAAGCCCCCAAATCCTCCCCAAATCCTCCCCAAATCCTCCAGGTTGTCCCCAAAGCCTCAAGGTCCTTCCAAACTCCCCAGGTCCTCCCTAAGATCCTTCAGCTCCTCCCAAATCCCCCCAGTTGTCCCCAAACCCCCCAAATCCTCCCCAAACCCCCCAAATCCTCCCCAAATCCCCCAGGTTGTCCCCAAATCCCCCAGGTTCCCCCCTAAAGCCTCCAGGTCCTCCCAAAGCCCCCAAATCTTCCCCAAAGCCCCAAATCCTCCCCAAATCCCCCAGGTTGTCCCCAAATCCCCCAGATCTTCCCCAAATCCCCCCAAATCCTCCCAAAGTCCCCAAATTTTCCCCAAATCCCCCAGGTTGTCCCCAAAGCCTCCAAATCCATCTGGGGAGGCTGGGGGCACTCGGGGGCTTTGCCAGGGTTTGGGGGCACTCGGGGGCTTTTTCAGGGTTTTAGGGGGACACTCGGGGGCTTTGCCATGGTTTGGGGGGCACTCGGGGGCCTTGCCAGGGTTTGGGGGCACTCGGGGGCTTTGCCAGGGTTTTAGGGGGACACTCGGGGGCTTTGCCATGGTTTGGGGGGCACTCGGGGGCTTGCCAGGGTTTTAGGGGGACACTCGGGGGCTTTGCCATGGTTTGGGGGCACTCGGGGGCTTTGCCAGGGTTTTGGGGGGCACTCGGGGGCTTTGCCATGGTTTGAGGGGCACTCGGGGGGCTTTGCCAGGGTTTGGGGCACTCGGGGGCTTTGCCAGGGTTTTAGGGGACATTTGGGGGCTTTGCCAGGGTTTGGGGGCACTCGGGGGCCTTTGCCATGGTTTGAGGGGCACTCGGGGGGCCTTGCCAGGGTTTGGGGCACTCGGGGGCTTTGCCAGGGTTTGGGGGGATATTTGGGGGCTTTGCCAGGGTTTGGGGGCACTCGGGGGGCTTTGCCAGGGTTTTAGGGGGACATTTGGGGGCTTTGCCAGGGTTTGGGGGGCACTCGGGGGCTTTGCCACGGTTCGAGGTTGGGCACTGCCCGTTTCCCGGTGCCCGCCCCCAGCTCCCGCACACGTGCCCGGGCCACGGGGAGCGGCTCCGTTACACAACGGGAGCGCAAATCGCTGCCAAGAGACTGGGAAAAGGGAAAAAAGCCCTCGGCACAAACCCCGGCTCGGCACCACCCCCGAGGCCGGACCCTGGACGGCACCGGGTGGGACCCGAACCCCGCGGGGCTCTCCCGGCCCGGTGCTCCCTGGGCAGCCCCAGCGGCGCATTTTGCTCCTCCTAATCCAAACCAGCGCCCTTGGCAAGGGCGGGGGGCAGCTCCCAGGGTTCCTTTCTCCTCCTTTTCTCCTTTTCCAGCCGGGTCCGGGCGGGCTCGGGAGCGTCGCTGCCTCCCCGGCCGGGTGTGGCTCAGGCGGGGCGATGAACGCTATAAATGCCAGGGCCTGAGGCCTGGCTCCCCTTCCGCCCTGCCCGATCTCTCCCGTCCCTCCCGAGCTCTCGGTGAGTCGCTTTTCCCACTCCAGATGTTCTCCAGATGTTGCCAGGCGCGGCTGGGGGGTCCTGCTGCAGGTGCCGAGCTGGAAAATGTGGATTTCACCTGGCCAGGGCTGGGAAAAACTCCCGAGCCCCTTCCCTTCCCCTTCCCTTCCCCTTCCCTTCCCTTCCCTTCCCTTCCCTTCCCTTCCCTTCCCTTCCCTTCCCCTTCCCTTCCCTTCCCTTTCCCTTCCCTTCCCTTCCCTTCCTTCCCTTCCCTTCTCCTTCCCTTCCCTTCCCTTCCCTTCCCTTCCTTCCCTTCCCTTCCCTTCCCTTCCCTTCCCCTTCCCTTCCCTTCCCTTCCCTTCCCATTTTTCCCATTTTTTCCCCTATTTTGGGGTTGCCCAGCCCGGCTGGAGCCGGGGGAGGGACCGGAGCATCCCGGGACAGACCCGGGCCTGGCACGGGGGATTGGTCCCTGGTTCTGGCTCTGAGGGTGCCCAACTCCTGTGTCCCCCTCGCTGTGTCCCCAGCTGTCCCCATGGCGTGTCCCCTGGAGCAGGCGCTGGCCGTGGTGGTCGCCACCTTCCACAAGTACTCGGGCAACGAGGGCGACAAGTACAAGCTCAACAAAGCCGAGCTCAAGGAGCTGCTCACCAAGGAGCTGCCGAGCTTCAGCGTGAGTGCCGGGGGGGACTCGGGGCTTTGGGGACGTCCAAAGCCCGGTTTTAACCCCTCCAAAGCCCGGTTTTAACCCCTCCAAAGCCCCGGTTTTAACCCCTCCAAAACCCGTTTTTAACCCCTCCAAAGCCCGGTTTTAACCGTTCCAAAACCCGGTTTTAAACCCTCCAAAACCCGGTTTTAACCCTTCCAAAGCCCGGTTTTAACCGTTCCAAAGCCCCGGTTTTAAACCCTCCAAAGCCCCGGGTTTAACCCTTCCAAAGCCCCGGTTTTAACCCCTCCAAAGCCCGGTTTTAACCCTTCCTTTCCCTCCTCCCTCGGGCAGAATCAAACCAGCGAGGCGAGTTTACAGAAGCTGATGAGCAACCTGGACTGCAACAGCGACAACGAGGTGGATTTCCAGGAGTACGTGACCTTCCTGGCCTGCATGGCCATGATGTGCAACGACTTCTTCCAGGACCTGCCGGACAAGATGCCCCGCAGGAAGTGAGGGCAGGGCCCGGCACGGCCCCGGGACCCTCCCGTGTGATCCCCACATCATTTCAATAAATTTCCATTTAAACAAAGCGGTTTTGCCCCCCCCGGGGGTCTCTCTGGCCGGGCTGGGGGAAGTTGGGGGTGATGCCAGGTTGGTTTTGGTTCTGGTTCTGGTTCTGGTTCCGGCTCTTGTTCTACCTCTGGTTCTGGTTCTGAATCTGGTTCTGGTTCTGGCTCTGATTCTGGTTCTGGTTCTTATTCTGGCTCTGGCTCATCCCGGAGTGGATCCGGCATCCCCGAGGCTCCGGAAACTCCCCCGGGGCCGCTCCCAGGCTGGTTCTGACTCTGACTCTGATTCTGGTTCTGGTTCTGGTTCTGGTTCTGGTTCTTGCTCTGGTTCTGGTTCTGGCTCTGGTTCTGGTTCTTGCTCTGGTTCTTGCTCTGGTTCTGGCTCTGGTTCTGGTTCTGGCTCTGGTTCTGGTTCTGGTTCTGGTTCTGGTTCTTGCTCTGGTTCTGGTTCTGGTTCTGCCCGGGGTGGGGGAAGCTGGGGGCAATGCCAGGCTGGTTCTGGTTCTGGCCCTGGCTCTGGTTCTGGTTCTGGTTCTGGTTCCGCCCGGGGTGGATCCGGCACCCCCGAGGCCTCGGGAACCCCCCGGGGCCGCTCCCCGGCAGCCGCGTCGGGGCTGACTCAGCCCGGCCCGGCCGCTCCTCCCCGGAGCCGCTCCCACCCCGCAGGGCTGCGGGAACAGCTCCGAGCTGGGATTGGGCCGGTTCGGGAACAGCTCCGAGCTGGGATTGTGCCGGTTCGGGAACAGCTCCGAGCTGGGATGGTGCCGGTTCGGGCTCAGCTCCGAGCTGGGATTGGGCCGGTTCGGGAACAGCTCCGAGCTGGGATTGTGCCGGTTCGGGCTCTGTCCCTCACCCACCGCCCCGCGGATGTCGCGATTGTCCCCTCCCCATCCCCGGTGCCCCGGGGGTTCTGCCGCGTTCCTGCCCGGGGTGCGGCCGTGCGGAGCCGCCACTTCCCGGTGCTCCGGGCCAGCCCATCCCGGTTCCTCCCCCGCTGCCCTTTCCCCTCTCTTGGTCACGCTCCGGGCTCCAGATTTGCCACACGCCCCTTCCAGATGTGGCCGTGCCCCTTCCAGATGT